TTAGTTTTTATAAAATTTGCGAATTTCTGTTTCAGTATTTACATTTAAAAAAACATTTTTCTAAAACTTGAATTAATATCTTTTAACATTAGATATTTATTTTACGATAAATGAATATAACTTATCGATTTAAAAAAAATAATGACTTATTATATTACAGTGAGATGTGTTATTCGGGTAATAATTTAATATTTTTTTCAAAATATATATAATTAGTTAGTGTTATATAATACTAAGAATTAAAAGTAGTTTTTTATTTTTAAAGAAAAAATAAAAAGTTTGCAATTGAATCAAAAACTTATTCAATATCCAAGTACTATAATATATTTAAGTACAAATAAATAAAAAAACAGACGAAATAGTTATTTGTGAAAACTACATCTCATAATCAACAAAAGCAGAAATAAGATGTTCCTAACCACTTATTTAACAGCGCGTAATCCTGACCACAAAAAGTAATTATTATATATTAAAAGGAAAAAAGGTCTTATCTGGACTTGGTCAATTTTATCAACAAAAAATATCAATTTCAGGGAGTAATGGTCCAACAAAAATGAATTATATATTTTATAAAATAAAGTTTAGCCATTTTACTCTTTTTATCATAATTCTATTTTTTTTCATTTATATTAGGATAACTATATCCTTGGTTTTTATAGGCAGAATTAAAAAAAAAAAAATTGTTTAAGAAGAGGTAGTGAGAGTTCCTGCTTTAAGTTAAGGTTTTCTTTACTAACACTTGTTTCACGTTGGAAAAGGAAATAAATTTTTGCATATTTATGTTGAAAGAAGTTTGAATATTTATGTTGGAAATGTTTCGTTGAATTTAGTTAATTAAGGGATTTAATGACTTTTTCTTTTTCCGAAAAAGTAACATAATTTTGCTTTAGTTTTAATTGTTATTTTATTTTATTTTTTTGAAAAATTAATGTTGATTATTTAATACATGAAAATAGAATAAAGTCATCTGACTTTTTTTCATTTAGAAAAAAAAAGAAGAAAACTACTGAATCCATTATGCATTGTGGAGAAGTATTGGCGAGAATTCAAATTATAAATATATAATAGAGTGGATTATGTTACTTAAAAATAAATATTTTGAAATGTTATAGACGTTCATAATTAATTACAGGATTGTTAATCTATAACAAGGGGACAAGATATTGGTCCCCTAATTATTTTTTTAATTTTATATTTTTAAAAAATATATATATATAATAAAAATATACCATAAATATTTTTGAATTTAATTAATTAATGCCTCTAATTAAACAAACTAAAATAATTATTATTTCTTACATATTAAATTATTTTATTATAATTAATAATTAAAATTTAATTTGTAAGTATTAAATATTTAATTTTAATACTAATGTATATATATTTATTTTAAGTAATATAATGCACAAAAATTAATTTATTAAATTATTTTAATTTTAAATTTTAATTAGAAAATAAAGAAACAGACTAGAAGACCATCTATATCATCCCACGTTGACTTGATAAACTTCAATTTGACCTACGAAATTTTGACAGATAGACATACCAGGAGGTAAAGATATATTTTGTCATACAGGTAAATACCTTAATTATATTAATATAAAATAAGTAAATATATTTTGAATGTATTATTATAATAAATACGAAAGAATACATTAGAAGAGTAAAGTATCTCAAAATGAATTAAATGAGCAGAACTTAAAGAATAAAATTTTCACTTAAAAAAAACAAATTAACTTTATTCATTTTTAACTAAAATACAATGTAATTTAATTTGACTTCTTAGATTATCGAGCCAACATAAATTTCAATAACCGATTGTGAGTATTATGAAAAGATAGCATACATGCAAATAAACTAACTTGAAGTTGTTGCATTTAATTACTTTTACTATGGTAACTTTCAATGAGTTTCTCTTTGATTGAATTGATTTAATTTATGTATTTTGAGTCGGTTTCAGTCCCAAAATTATATTGTTGTATGCGAATAGGTCAAATGTTGAGCGGAGGAACCTCGGAAAATACTTCTTCTCCTTCTCCTTCTCCTTGTTCTAGTCAATTCTCAAGGACCCACTAAACCTAACATTACACTTCACACAACCCCGTAATCAAAAGTCTCACATACAGTCTTCACATTTTCTTTAATAAAAAAAAATTACAATTAAAATCAAATATTCACTTTTTAAATTAACCTTTTTCTGTTACAATTAATGCATAATTTTGTTAAACATTAATTATTTATTTTTGGTTAATATTATATTAAGATGGTATGGGAAGTGAAACGTGGTGGCCAAGCAAAATTGTTATGCTCCATGGACTTTTTGGTTGACATGATAAGACACAGTATATTAAGTAGGCAAGTGGGGAAGGGAAGGAGACGTTGATGTTATTGTTTGGGTGTGGGGAACAGACAATTGAGAAAGATTTGCAACCAATGGTGACAAAGTCAATTAAACCTCATTAACCCAAAATATCAGTACAATTATTATAATTCTGAAATGACCAAGAGAAATTAAATTAAAGTTCAGAAGGTCCAATATATCACCATGTACAAATTTTACATTCTCATGTTTCTCCATTTTCTTCACACTCCCATCATCAAAACATCATTAATTCTCCCTCCAACTCTCTTTCTTTGGGACCCATTTACCCTTTACCCATACCTAATTATCTAACTTCACTCCTTCAACATTATTATTACCTCTACCTCTACAGTTTTTCCCCCACCATTTTCTGCTCTTTTCACCGCTAGATGCAAGCCACGTGTCACCTTCCACACTCTCCCCTAGAGATTTTAACATTCCGAGATTTCAAAAGAAAATTGAAACTGGATTGCTATAATTATGGACAATAGGTTGGTTGGGAGGAGAAAGCAAATTAAAAGTCATCAGAATCATATATCAGATTCTGAATTGTCTGCATGAACCACCTACACCCACTGCTTTGCAGCTACATGATCAAACCAGACTCGTACAAAATTTCAAGTATAGTTAGATCAATCTATATGAAATTCCATCACGATTTTAGTTTTAAAAAATATCTCTGGAAAATTAAGCTGTCATTAATTGTAAAAGATTGTGGTTTTGAGCGGGGCCATGGAAGACAGAACAAAGTGATGTCATATTTTATGAATAGAAAGTGAGTGATCTATTGCATTATGTATGAAATGGAAAGTTTCCTAATTGCAGAAAAATATCATAACATATATTTATAATATTAATTTAAAAATGTGGAAAAAAAAATGGGATCCTATACTGTATGATGTAAGTATAGAGTATGTTTATGGAAGAAGGAACAGATAGAGAAAAGGGTCCCAGTGGTGAAAAATGGTTTTATTTATTAGGTAAGTGGTGGAAGAGTGAAGTAGGGAAGGAAATGCGATACAGCTGGGTGGGGTAGGGTTTGCCTCAACTCTACCATCTTTCTTTCTACTTTTTTAAACTATTTTGGTCAAAAATCACAGCTTTACTAGCTAAACAAGATTTGGGAATCAAAACATTCATATTTTTCTTGCTTTGGGTTTCAGAAGCAGAAGATTAATTGGAATGAGTAAGAATTAAAATTAGAAGAAGATTAAATATGAACAGATTAATTTGTAAAGTTTAAACTTTAATTTGAATATGTTTAAATAATTAATTACAAATTATGTACAAAAATCCACATACTAATTTAAAATATAATAAAAATTTACAAATTAACAATTATAATTATAAGTAAATTAAAGACGAATACCAGTCATATTTAACAAAGTTGACTTAATATCAGTGTTTTATCAACAAGTTGACGTAATATTATAATGTTATCTATAATTATAAATTATACTAGTAAAATAAAAAATACACTACCTAGATAATCAGTTATCTGAGTTTAATCTATTCCATCAGTTTTAAACTTATTTAACAAAAAATATTCAAATCCATCTTTCTTTCTTTTTTTTTACATAATGCTTTCAATTGAACATCTAAAATTAATAAAATAATTACAAAAAATCAATTTAGCTGAATTAACTTGACCTAATTAAGTTTTTTTTTATTATTTAATTTTATGAATTTAAATTTGTTGTTTTTATTACCTAGCTTATTAGTTAATTGGCGAAGTTATATTTAGAAGTAATTAAATGTTTTTATCTTATATAAACATTTTTAGTGAATTCATTTACTTTTAAAATATTTAATTAAAACATTAATTGCATTGAATAGTTATAAAAAAATTTAATACTATTAATATTTGTATAAACTTTTACTATAAAAAAACATATTATTGTTAGACATATAAAAGTAAATAATGGATTATATCTTTAAATACAAATCAATTATCTCTGTATACATTTTTTTTCTTTAACAAGATTATATACTTTATATATAAGTAAGTATAACTAATTCAAACCTTTAACCTCTGAAGTTACCTGTAACAAATTGTACAGAATTAATTATAATCAATTATACGTGATTATAACTATTATAAAAAAAATTATTGTTTTTACATATCTAACAGTTATTATTCATTATCATTGAAATCAGGTTGTTTAATTTTTTTTTCTAAATCTCTAATTTTGGAGTAACAAAATAACACAATATTTTACATAAACATGGATTCTCTCCTATAGTGTTTTCGAGAAAGACTTTACTCCATAAAAATTTGTGGAAATTTACAATACTATTTTTCACCCTTCAAGCAATATAGTCTTCCTCCACCTCTAATATTCTCTGCAACTTCTCAACAGATGGAAAGATTTTTCTTAGTAACAATGGAAACAAAATAAACATATTTTGAAAAGACAAATTGATATAATTAAACATATTATTAAATTAATCTAATAAAAGAAAAAACAAATTCAACATTATACACCAGCATAAAATTTATAATAAATATATATATAACTACCACTTTTACATAAAATTAATAATTACTTCGGCGGAAAGGAAAAATTTCAACTTTGAAATTTCAGATCTTTGGACGGCTCTTATCAGCACAAGAAAACCCAAAGATTATCTCTCGAACTTAGTAGACTAAAAGACTAACTCTACTCATAACTTCTTCCTCAAACAAATAAATATAATGGATATGCACTCAGAAATTGATCCTATACAATTTCTAAGATCTCACCAAAACTAACAAAACTTATAATAAATATTGTAAAATTATTCCTATGAACTTCTGCAAAACTTAGGCACAAGGTATGTTGAGGGGCTCCTCGGTCCAACCTGCAAACTCTTCAGCACAGAAATCGCCAAAATCAAAATCAGGAAGTTTACTAGGCTCATTATTATCAAACCCATAAATGCGAATATCTTCCAAGCCACCAAAATCATCAAAACCCTGACCATAATCCTCAAGTGATAGCCAATCAAAATCAATACCAAAGTCTGGTTCAGTACCAGATGCAAGACCAGCAGTAGCACCGATGAATGGTGACGGCAAGTTCAAAAGACTCAAATCTGGAATTTCAAGTTCAGCAAATTCAGAAACCAAATTATTAGTCTCAACAGCTTCCTCACTCAAAACATGGTCATTGTCAATGGGTTTGGAAGATGAAGAATCCAACTCAAGCACAGAAGAAGGTGATGGATGTGACAACACACCGTCTGAGTCATCAGTGGTAGTAGAAAACTTCTCAGACACAGACACAGCAGCAGCATCAGAAGAGTTACAGCATATGCTCTTATCAGAAGTTGTGGACAAAGGCTCTGAAACAATTTTGTAGGCTCTGGCCTTTGCCTTGGCTTCAAACTCAAGCCTTCTGGCTTCGTAGGCTTGAGAAGCCTCTTCCGCTGTGTTGAAAGTACCAAGCCATATGCGAGTACTCTGAAAAGGATCACGAATCTCAGCAGCCCATTTACCCCATTTTCTCTGCCTAACACCTCTATATTTCCCAGAAGTGTTCCTTCTTGTTGATGGGGTTTGGGTCAAAACCCTCTTTTTTGTCTGGGGTTGACCTTCGATGCAAACCTTCACCCTCACTGCATTGCTGTTGCTATTCACCTCAAAGGAATTGGTTTCAGGAGTGGTGAAAGTTTGAGGAAGAGGTGGGAGAGAGATCTCACAAAAGTTTCTCTTTGCTTTTTTCGATTTCTGAAACACCTCTGACTCATCATCGGATGAATCAGTGGCATCAGGATCGTTATAAATTATTCGTAGTTTTCTCATTGCTTTGGACTCTTGCACGGAGTGGTGAGGTTTCTGCCTCGGTTTAAAAGTCAGTTGTTTCCGAGATTCAGACATGGTGAGAAAAAAAATGAGGAAAAACCCTCTAAAAACCCTCAGAATATGTAGAAGAAGAAAACCGAAATGAACGGAGAGAAAGAAGAAAATCAAAGAAAAGAGAGGTAATCAAAACTCTGATCTCAAGTTAAATCCCCTCTTAAAAATATGAAAAGATAAGAAAATCTCTGTATGTGAAAGCAGCCGTAACACTCCACTCCGCAATAAGTCCTGTTCCAAAACCATAAAAGAATCAGACCATTATCACATAACAAAACTTAGAAAAACAAATGAAATCCACTCCAAACAAACAAACCTTTTTGATCTCAATCGCATTGAAACAGATGGCTTCACGATATTATCACAGAGTACGCAGCTTAGCATACACCAAGACCAGGAGAAAAAAGAGAACACAATCTCAGATAAAATTGAAAAGAGAGAGAAAGAAACACAAATTTTAGAGAGCTTCAACGCAGCCCCAATCACTGCCAGAATAAATCCAGACGACATAAATCCACAGCTTGCCTGCCCTTTTTTCGAAGACAGATCCTCCTAAAAACGCAGAAATAAAACTCTCTTCACCGGTCCAATAGAAAAGAGATTCAGCAATATGTAACAAAAACACAAACCAAAACCAAACTAGTATGGTTCAGTGCGGAGATTAAAAAGAGAAAGGGAAAGATTATGGACCAGATTTTTAATAGAGAGTTTCTATCGATCTGAGAAATATATTTATATAAAATAGTCGACCTTGGTACGACAAAGGACGCAGTGAGTGCAAATCTCCATACAACATGAGCAGCAGAGTGAGAATTTTTTTAAAGGAGAGAGAAAAAGACATTACATAATAATAAATAATAATGGTGTTTTAATCCGATGGGAGTCTCGAGGCGAAGAAAAAAAAAAAATGAACGGAGAAGATTGAAAGAACACAGTCTACAATGAAATTTACCTTGTTTGTTTTGGGTGAGAAGGAGGAAGCTAGTCTGTCTTTCCCTCTGTCTCTCTCTTGTGTCTGTCTGTGTCTGCTATTGGCAGTGGTTTCTCTCACAAAGAGTGGCCCCTCTATGCTCTTTTTCTATTCTGCACAACACACCCTTCACCCATTCTTTTTTTATCGCCGGTCAAAAATTCGCATTTAATGGGCCCGAGTAGGTAAAACATATAAATATTAATTCCGCGAAAACATTATATTTATTTCCATTATTATGTCTAGCTGGCATGGGGCTGTGTGAGTGTGAAACACTAAGCATACATTAACCATGCATGACCCATCAACATGCTACATGTATATCATGCTCTATAGTCTAACGTCTTCAGATTCTTCCTTGGAATCCGATCTTTCTGCTTTCCCCACGCGTGAATCTAACAACATTCAGATGACTCGGTTACGAAATCTCACCTAAGGTGAATTCCACGCGCTTAGATGAGCAACTAGAATAAGATCATCTCTGACATGCAGCTTTTTACGCCGTCAAGGATGACTAACCAAAAGAACGCTTCAGTTGCCTACAAAATATTAACAGATTCATTATATTTACGGGAAAATGCTAATCTTGGGACCTTCTTTTGTGGCAGTCGAATACACTAATAAATTATATTTGATTTAAATTTAAAGGAAAAAAAAAGTAAAAGAGAACAAAAACAAAGTAATAAAGTGGGTGTATTTTACTGTAATACTGTATTCTTTTCAAAATTTGTTTGATTTTTTCAACATACTTTTTACTTTTCCGAATCAATTTTTGTATAGAGAAAACAAACATAATTTATTTTCCATACACTATTTATAGAAGATATGTTTATCTTATTGTAGTGATTTAATTGTTCATATATTATTGATATGAACAAAAGATTTTTCTGTATATTATTTTATAAAAACAATTTTTAAGGTATATTTTTTACCATTATAGTTTAGAAACAATAAGATTTAAGAATGAATCAGAGTATTATAACTTTTTTATGGCATGTCTTTTCTGTTCTGTTTTGGTGTATCATGTCCATGAATATTTACACTTTTAATATATTAAAATATTATAATTTATAGAATATATAATTTTATTATTTTTACATGAAATTAGTAAAAAAATATAATAATATAATTTAAAAAGTATATATGCAACAATTATATTAAAAATATAAATTTATTAATTATTTTAAAATAAAGAGAGATTATATTTTATTACAAAAAAAATTATTTTACTCATTAAAATATAAAATTATATAATTAAAAAAGATATCAACAAAATATTAAATTATCTGTCTCTTTAAATAATGTACAAATTACTAATATGTGTATTTTTCATTCATATTGATGAAATTAACCTAATCCTTGAGCAGAAACCAATTTTAAAATTATATTATATCAATATATTCTGAATTAATATAAGTTAAAAATACTTAATATTATAAATGCATGAAAAATAATATATATATATAT